CTCAGCGCGCGGGACGCCCCGCGCGGCCCCTGCATTGCTGGAGCCGCCAACGCGGCTTTGCCAACGGGCTCCCCCGCTACGGCCCTGGCGCCAGGGACCACGCAGCCACGTAGAGCAACCAGGATTTTATTGATTGGAAAATACATGAACCAGAGAGAATAGAGCTTTAGTGTTTCTTTCCGAACAACAATAAGGAACTGTTGACATAAAAAAACCAAAAGCATGAATAAAATATAAAACAGATATTATACCACACTGTGGACTTCAAATAATCCAAGAACAGCAGCAGCACTTCTACAAATATATTAAAAGCTATAGTGCTCATTAATCTCCAATAGAGCAACTCCCAGAGAGCAAAATGGCATCGACACATAAGAGCAGCAATTCGGTGCAGGGCAACGGGAGGGCACGCGGGTCCGTCCCGGAGCTCCCGGCACGACCCGGCCGACGGAGCGCACGGCTACGGCCCGCGGGGTCCTCGGAGCAAAACATTGGATTGATTCTGCTTATGAAGAAGGGCCTTCTCCTTCCCAGGCTCCGGGGAATTTCCCTCCGAGAAGAGGCGGGATTTCTGAGAATTAAGGCGGATCAACCTTATGTCATCCTGGAAATGGAATCTAAGCAGCTCGGGATCCAGTGCCGAGGTTTTTAATCTATCATCCTCCCTAGCAGTGGAGCAACATGGGTTCTTACAATTTATATGCATTTTTTTGAGATTTTGCGCATAGTTTAAATTCTAACAGATTTTCTAAAAAGCGCTTTTTAAACTTTTTTTTTTTTTTTTCCTTTTAGCAGCCTTTTTTGGTTGTTTCTGAGCAGCTGCTGAGCGGCGGTTCCTGCCGGGGCGGCTCGGAGCGGCGGCGCCGCCGGGGCCCTCCTCGCTCCCGGCCTCCCGTTCTGCCCCGCGCGCACGAGCAATTAGAGGAAGTCGTTAAACTACTGAGCTGGAATTAAAGGCTGAACGTCTTTATCGCTGGCCTAAGATTAGACACTTACTAAAAGGGGGACGCATTATCTGGGAGATCTGGGATTGTGACGACAGCCAGAAGGAAGCGGAGCGCCGGGCCGGGCCGCGGTGCCGTCACGACCGGCGTCGCTGCAGGGCGGCATCGAGGGCACCGGGCCTGGGGATCCAGGGCTGGTAAAAGTTACAGCTCTCCCCTATTGCTAGAAAATTGTCACTTGGTCTCTAAGTTGTGCTCTTCTGCCAGCGACTTGTGCTCAAGCAAACCTGAGGCCCAGAAAACGTGCCCAGAGCCACTTGGTCCCGGTGAGGATCCCTAAGCAGATTGCCCGAGCAAAATCCTTTGACAAATGTATTGATGAAACAAGAATCATTTTGGTCCTGCCGAGGAACCAGCTCAAGGCCTGTCGCCAGCTGAGCAGGACGCCCCTGCACAGCAGCTATTTGCTCTATTCTAAGATATTTTTTCAAAGCAAAGCTTAGGTGGTGAGAATTTTTAAGCTGAACCCGTATCTATTTTAAGGACCGTTTGCCACAGTGGCTCCCAGTGCAGTGAATTACCCAACTGACCGAAATAAATAGAGAGAAAGGGTAGGCCAGGCCTCACAATTAAAAACAACAACAAAAAGAAAAGAAGAGAGACTGAGACTCCTCTCATCCTGCAGATTTGCTCCCGGCCACAGCCTCAAGGTTTGTGCCGCCAAGGCGGGATCAGGGCCGGGCTCTCAGCCTGCCCACAGCTGGATTATTCCCATCAAAACTCGGACTCGAAGCTGCCACATGGGGAATAATCACCTCTCCTCATGTGTTTTTTAATTATCAGTGAAATGGTTGCTGACACCCGCATTTCTGTTAGCAGCTGTAGCTACAATAAAAGCTATATTTGGATATGTTAAGAGCTGATCAGAAACTAGGAGGCTGGGTGTGA